GATGTGTGATGGTAAACGGAGGTTTTTTTGTTTTGTTTTGTTTTGTTTTGTTCCTTCTTGTGCCGTGAATGGAACTCAGAACCTTGCTCATCTGGGGAAACTGTTCTACCACTGAGCTCAAAGGGCTCCCAAATAATTGATAATTTTTTTCTTTGACTTTCTTTTTTTTTTTTTATTTTGTTTTTTCCGAGACAGGGTTTCTCTGTGTAGCCTTGGCTGTCTTGGACTCGCTTTGTGGACCAGGCTGGCTTTGAACTCACAGAGATCTGCCTGCCTCTGCTGGGATTACAGGCATGTGCCACTGTGCCTGGCCTAAAAAATTTTTATTAGTATGGATTAATTATACCAAATAACGGGCTTATAATTATGCCAAGTTGTGTACATAACGCTTATTAACCATATTCATCCATTACCCTCTTTTGCCCCCCTTCCATTGGTCTGCTCTCCTTCCCAATTACTCTCCCTGAAAGTAGGAGCCTGTTTTTCTGTTTGTTTTGTTTCTTTGATAAGCCAGTGAATTTCATTAGGGTTGCTTACAAGATTTATTTACAGGCTTGTTTTTATTTTTTGAGTGTGAGAGAGTGTGTGTGTGGTGTGTGTGGGTGTGCTCCCTGTGTGTGTTTGGTGAAGGATGTTGGGGTCCTCTGCCACTTCTTGACAAACCTGAAGACAAATTTTTGCTGTTGTTTTCAGCTCTTCTGACAGCCAACAAGCCCAGCATCCTTTGCTGTCGGTTTTACAGGCTTCCATAGGAGGACCACACCAAGCCTTTACGTAGGTGCTAGAAATCAAACTTAGGTCCTTATGCTTGAACAGTAAGCACTTTAACCACTCTTTTTTTCAAGACAGGGTTTCTCTGTGTACCTCTGCTGTTCTGGAACTCTCTCTGTAAACCAGGCTGGCCTTGAACTCACAGAGATCTGCCTGCCGCTTCCTCTGCCTCCTGAGCGCTGTGATCAAAGGTGTGAATCACCACCACCTGTCTTCTTAACCTTCTTCTTCTTCTTCACCTTCTTTTTTTTTTTTTTTTTAAATATGAAAGAGTTTATTGGATGGAGATGGAGAGAGAAAGTGAAGGAGAGAGAGAGATAGTGGGGGAAGGGAGCGCCCCCAACAGAGAAAGGGGAGAGGGCATAGGAGAGCAAAAGAGCAAGAGTAAGAGAGAGCTTCTTAACCACTCTTAAGGTTTGCTCTTTTGTTTTGCTTTGTGTCAGGGTCCCACTGTGTGGTCCTGGCTGGCCTTGAACTTGGACCAGATCCAGGCATGTGCTACAGCTCCAACTAGCTCTTCTTGGACACTGTATCAAAAATCATAAATAGTAGTTTCTGAATTTCTCTTTCTTTCTTTGAGAAAGGGTCACAGGAAGCCCAGTCTGGCCTTGAGCTTGTTGTGTGGTGACTCTGTCTCCCAAGCGCTAGGATTAAAGGCATGAACGTCCATGCCTGTGTGATACAGAGGCAAGTTCAGCTCACAGATCAAATAATTTCATAGATTTTTTTTTTCCCCCTGGAAGGACACATTACAGTTTTGTTTGCTGCAAAAGCCTTTTTAAGATGTTATACATTTCATACATAGACTATTAGAGAGATGTATTCTTAGCCAGCTGGTGGAGAAGCACCCCTTTAATCCCAGCACTCAGGAAGCAGAGGCAGGTGGATATCTGTGAGTTTGAAGCCAACCTGGTCTATAGAGTGAGTTCCAGGACAGCCAGGGCTACACAAAGAAACCCTGTCTCAAAAAAACCCCATAATATAACAAAACAAAACAAAACAAAAAGATGTATGCTTAATGCTTATGATTTAGTAAAACTGATACTTCAGGGTTGACCAGATGGAGGTGTTGGTCTCTCTCTTTTTATTTTAAAAATATATATATTTAATGTAAATATATATTACATTAAATTTATATTTATATATATATTACAGTTTATTCACTTTGTATCCCAGCTGTAGCTCCCTCCCTTTTCCTCCCAATCCTACCCTTCCTCCCTGATCTCCTCCTGTGCCCCTCTCCAAGTCCACTGATAGGGGAGGTCCACCTCACTTTCCATCTGACCCTAGCCTATCAGGTCTCATCAGGACTGGATGTATGTCTTCCTCTGTGGCTTGTGTTCATATCTTTTTAGACTACTTCCTGCTGATTAGGGTTGGCAGGTTCCTTGGGCCAACTCCAATCTTTGTAGTCAGAATATCTCCAACTTTTTCTTTTCATCAAACTGAAACAGCAGCAACAAGGAACAACAGGGAGACGCCTCTTCCTTGGAGACAGTTTCTGGTTCTCACAGGTGGCTCAACCTCCATGAAGAACTGAAATTCAGATGAGGTCCGAATCATGAGTTGAAATTGGCCAAGTGAAAGGAAAGGAGTGGGGGTTGTTCTGGTTTTCTTTCTGATGCTTTGATAAAATGCTCTGACCAAGCTGGGTGCTAGTGGCACACGTCTTTAACCCCAGCGTTCAGGAGGCAGATGCAGGAGGATTTCTGAATTTGAGACCAGCCTGTGTTACAGAGTGAGTTCCAGGACAGCCAGGGCGACACAGAGAAACAGTGTCTCAAAAGACAGGGCTGGAGAGATGGCTCAGAGGTGAAGAGCACTGGCTGTCCCTCCGAAGGTCCTGAGTTCAATTCCCAGCAACTACATGGTGGCTCAAGATATCTATAGTGATATCTGGTGCCCTCTTCTGGCATGGAGGCACACATGCAGGCAGAATACTGTATAAATAAAAATTTAAAGCAAACAATCAACAACCAAAAAAAATTATATATATATATATATATATATTTTGACCAAAAGCAATGTAGATGAGGAATGGATTTACTTGGCCTATTCTTTACTTGGCCTGTCATTGAAGAAAGTCAAGGCAGGAAACTGAAGGCAGAGAGCACCTTGCTCTTCCACATAGCATTACCTCTAACAAACAAGGAACTCACTTCACAGTCAAAGAAGTACAGCAGGAACCATGGAGGATGCCCCTTGCTGGCTTTTCATGCAGTTCAGGATCCTCTGCCTAGAGGATGATATCGCTCTCAGGGGGCTGTGCCTCCCTAAGGCAGTCAACAATTGACGAAATCCCCCATACACATACCCCACAGGGCAATCTGATCCGGGCAATTTCTCAGCTGAAGCTCTCTTCTCGGGTGACTCCAGGCTGTGTCAAGTTGGGGAGAATGGCTAGGTAGAGCCTAGTGTACAGAGGGCTTGGGTTCTCTCAGCATTGGGAAGGAAGGAAGGTAAAAAGAGAGGAAGGGAAGGAAGGAGAGGGGAGAGGGAGGGAAGGAGAGACAGAGAATGGAGGAGCCTTCAGGGCAGCAGGTTGACTATCTCGGAGCTGTGAGGTCTGGAGAGTTCTGAAGACCTTCTGGGAAAGTCACTGTAGCTGGAGACTGAGGGGGTGGTTCAGGGTGCGAGCGGAGTACTAGCTGGAGAGCTGGCGGCTGGGGCAAGGTGGCTCCCTTGGTTCTTAGAAACTGCCCCGCCTTTTGCCTGCTCTGTCCCGGTACCATAAACCTCATCTGCTTGGGATGTTTACTCCATCACCCTTCCTCTTCTGGGATTTCTCAGAAACCCCACCTGCTCTCCCAGATCTTTCTGTTCTTCTTTCTGTTCTCTTCTCCCAGAACTCCCTTTGTTCTTTGTCTAGCAGCTGCCTGTTCAAATTCCTTCAGTCTTCCTCCCTCATGAGATGATAAACTCCTTGAAGGCTGCTTTGCTGTGCTCTTCAGCATGCCTGACAGGAGTCACGCTCAGAAATAGTTGTTGGATGGATGTTTGGAAGAACAAATAGATTGAGACCGTATTTTTCTATAAATGTTTAGTCTGTGTTTGATCTATATATCAATCTATATCTATTTTTTGTTTTGTTTTCTTTTTTTCTTTTTTTTGAGACAGGGTTTCTCTGTGTAACAGAGCTCTGGCTGTCCTGCACTCACTTTGTAGACCAGGCTGGCCTCGAACTCCTAAAGAGCCACTTGCCTCTTGTCTCAGGAGTGATGAAAGGCATGTACCATCACACCCAGCCTGATTTATTTACTTTTTTCAGTCTCATGCTATAGTTCAGATTAGCCCTCAGCTCACTCAGTAGCTGAGGCTGGCTGTATACTCATTATAACCTTCTTGCCTTAGCCTTTCAAGGTCTAGGATTCCATATGTGACTCACCAGGCCTGGCCACAAGGCTATTCAGTATCCTATAATCTCTGGCAGTTCCTCAGTCTTTCCTTATCTTTCGTGACCTTGTCACGTTGAATAGGCACTGCCCGGTCCTTTGGAAGGATGCTTATAATTTGTTGGGCTTTGGGTGGAGTAGGGGGTCCCGCCCTTGGTCACATGCTTGTCAAGCAAGAGAGACCACTGTGCTATAACCCTGCATCTGTTGAATAGATTAAAAAATTTTTTTTTGAGGTAGAGCCTCCTTATGTAAGCTTAGGTTGTCCTAAAACCCTGTTTGTAGACCAGGATGGCCTCAAACCCATGGTGACCTTCCTGTCCCTTCCTCTCAAATGAATTCCATTATTGGTGTGAATCACAATGCCTGTCCTGGATTTTTTTTTTGTTAAGAAGTTTTAAGTCTTGTTTATTTTATTTTATGCACAGGAGTGCTTGTCTGCGTGTCTGTGCACCGTGGTGTGTGTGCGCCCGGTGCCTGGTGGAGGCTCAAAGATCCCCTGGGTCTGGGGTTATGCCACACAGGCACATTGCATACAGATACACAGCAAGCACACAGAGGCCACATGACGCCCAGCACAACTCAGTTCTCTCTACTTCCACCCTGCGGGACCCAATCAGGCCACCAGGCTTGAGGACAGGTGCTTTATAAACTGCTAACCCTGTTTCTGTAGGCTCTGCCTTCATACCTCCCGCTTAATCCCTGGGGGTTAAGTTTCAACATGAATCCTAGGGAGGACTCCAACACCCGAACTGTAGCAGGGAGCCTTGGAGTTGACGCGGTAAAGGGAGTCTCTTCCGGCTCTTTGTTAACCGGGATCTCTGCGTGTTCTTCCAGGCGCATCCGGCACCCCATGACCAGGTGATCCTCCCCGCCCAGAGCAATGGAGCAAAATGCCTCGTCCCGTGTGGACTCGGAGTTTCGATACACCCTCTTTCCGATTGCTTACAGCGTCATCTTTGTCCTGGGGGTGGTTGCCAATGGCTACGTGCTGTGGGTCTTTGCCCGCCTGTACCCTTCCAAGAAACTAAACGAGATAAAGATCTTCATGGTGAACCTCACCATGGCGGACCTGCTCTTCCTGATCACCCTCCCTCTGTGGATTGTCTACTATTACAACGAGGGCAACTGGATTCTCCCCAAGTTCCTGTGCAACCTGGCCGGCTGCTTCTTCTTCATCAACACCTACTGCAGCGTGGCCTTCCTGGGCGTCATCACTTACAACCGTTACCAGGCGGTGGCCCATCCCATCAAGACTGCTCAGGCCACTACCCGCAAGCGCGGCATCTCTCTGTCCCTGGTCATCTGGATCTCCATCACGGCTACCGCCTCCTACTTCCTGGCCACAGACTCCACCAACCTAGTGCCCAAAAAGGACGGCTCGGACAACATCACCCGCTGCTTTGAGCATTACGAGCCACGCAGTGTGCCCATCCTTGTGGTCCACGTCTTCATCGCCTTCTGTTTCTTCCTCGTCTTCTTCCTTATCCTCTACTGCAACCTGGTCATCATCCACACGCTGCTCACGAGGCCCGTGCGGCAGCAGCGCAAAGCGGAGGTGAAGCGCCGGGCGCTGTGGATGGTCTGCACCGTCCTGGCGGTCTTTGTCATCTGCTTCGTGCCCCACCATATGGTCCAGCTGCCCTGGACCCTGGCAGAGTTGGGCTACCAGACCAACTTCCACCAGGCCATTAACGATGCCCACCAGATCACGCTGTGCCTCCTCAGCACCAACTGCGTCTTAGATCCTGTCATCTACTGTTTTCTTACCAAGAAGTTCCGAAAGTACCTCAGCGAAAAGCTTTACAGCATTCGCAGTAGCCGGAAGTGCTCCAGGGCCACTACTGACACTACCGAGGTGATGGTGCCGGCCAACCAGACCCCTGTCCTGTCCCTGAAAAATTAAGCTCTGCTTGTTCAAGTCAGACTCAGGGTCTTCTCTTCCATGGGCCTCAGAGACTGAGCTGGGAGGTGAGCGGTCTCTGCCTGTGGCTAACCCCTCCTTGGCCCCCGGGGGACAGCAGTGGCAGGCTGCTGGAAAATACAGACCCTGAATGCTCCTTTTCACCCATCTTTGGGTTAACACTAGTCCAGAGCTTCAGAATCTGACGTCCCTGCGAGGGTCAGGCCTTGGCAGGTAGACTGGGAGCTGCCCAGCTCATCCAGCTGCGGTAGCAACCCTCAAGTTTGGGTACAACATCTTTGTGACCTTCCTGGAGGAAGCGGTTTGGTGGAACTATCTAATCTCAGAATCCAACCAGAGGAGATAAACACAGAAGCTGACCAGAAGCTAGGACGGGAGCCTGTTTGCTGAGGCAGCCGAGTGAGTGCTGAGTGGAAGAGAGAGGCTGCACTTCCCACGTCCAGCAGGCAGCAGCTTCTTCTGAGGACGCCTCTGGACACCTGCTGGCGATTTTTGGCAATCCATCGTGGCAAGGAAAGGCCGGGCAGGGCCGGGCAGCTCAGATTGTGGCGGCAGGAGCGCACAGAGGTTATTCACGCGGCCCAGAGCCAAGAAGCAAGACTGCACATTAACCAGGGGATGAGGTTACAACCGTCGGAGGCTAGCCCCCAGCCACCTTCCTCTACAGCCAGGTCCTACCTCCTAAAGGCTCCACCGTCTCCCACATGAACACCCCTCGCAGGGGTGAACATGGAGAGAATGGTTCCGGCCAGGGAGATGGCCCATCCGGTAGAGGCACTTGCCGCCAACACTGCCAATCAGAGTTTGATCCCAGAACCCACGTGGTGGAAAGAGAACAGACGACTTCTGCAAGTTGTCCTTTGACCTCTTCTTGGACACTGTGGCACACGCCACACAGTGCCCCGCCTCCCGTCTACATGTAAAGAAATTAATATAACAAAGCAAAATGAAGGCGGCTCTAGGGAGTTTACATGCAATGGTGTATTCTGAATACAACAATACACTATTACATTTAAGGGAGAGCAGCTCTTGCCCTGTGAGAGCTATTTAGAAACCTCAGACTCAGAACTCTGAGGAGCTCTTCCTGGTTTTGAAAGGGTTAGACTAACTTTGTAACCTGTATGTCTTCTAAAGCCTATAGTTTTGAGTTTTAGGTTCAGGTTAAGCTAAAGCCTCTTAGTACCTTTCCAGAGAATGGAAAAATATGACCCTATCTATGAGGACAGATAGAAAAAAAGGCAAGCAAGCAATGACCTTCAACAAAAAGAAAAACTCCTGTCTTTGAGGTAGCATTTCTTAGCAACGAACCCAGACTTCTTCTGAGTAGCTTTTGACCTGCAGCCAAAAGTCCAAAGCCCCTAATCTTCAAGGATGAGCTAACCACCCCACCTTCAATTGCAGCTGCATCCACACTTGGCAGGACTGGCCAAGCTTGAGCACCTAAGACTAACCAATTATCTTACTTTATAGCTTCCTCATCCAATCCTAAATTGCCAAGACTGCAACTTCAAATCTCCCGCAATTTTTCTTTTAAAAACCTAAAGGCCTTTGTCTCCCGGTGCCACTCTTTGCTGACCAGCAGGGGTGACCCCATTGCGCAATGGTTAATAAACCTCTTGCTTTTGCAACAAGTCGTGGTCTGGGGGAGTTTCTGGGAAGGGCGCGATCTTGAACTCCTGAGCTGTGAGACCCCAGGTCTTACATTTTCCTGAGCCTTGTGCTCAGGAAAAAAAAAATGTTTGTGCCAGGCAGTGATGGCATATGCCTTTAATCCCAGCACTCAGGAGGCAGAGGTAGGCGGATCTCTGTGAGTTTGAGGCCAGCCTGGTCTACAAAGTGAGTCCAGGACAGTCAAGACTACACAGAGAAACCCTGTCTTGAAAAACAAGACAAAACAAATAATGTCCTTCCTTCTAGCTAGTGTTCCCTTGAAGTTGGGTCAGTTGATTTTTGTCTGCATGGGCTTGTTTCAATAGGCTAGTAACCCTCTTGGGTTTGAGGGATGGCGGTGGGCTGCCTAGCTGAAGGGGACTGTAGCTAAAACAACGTACTTGAACTTTGACATCTTACAGATTCAGGTTCAAGTCTTGCCTGTGCTAGATGCTGCCCAGGACGTAGAAATTTAATAGTCTACCTCTTAGTGTCCTTAGCTGGGTGGCACAACCTACCTCACAGGGCTGTTAGGAGCCGTGCATGCTCACCTGAGTCTTGTTTACTCATCCCTGAGCCTCCCTTTCCTGAGAATTTGGTGCCCTTGATCCCGAAGGGGTAAGAGTTGGGCTGCTGTCCGGGGCTTTGCAGGCCACTCACTGAAGTCATTTAAGCTCTGGAGCTGTGACCGTGTCTGTATGTAAAGTGGGTTGGATGGCCACCGAGATGACTGGCAGACAAAAGACTTTCAAAGGAAAAGCAGAGGACAAGGAGAAACCGGAACTTGGAGAAAAGATGCGCTCCCGGGGGTCAGAGGGCACCCCTGCGTGCTTTCTCTTGAGCCCTGGGAGGTTCTCTCTTAGGCTCATTCAAATGGGTGTCTAGTACTTTCAATCAAATGCTAATACAGTATATTCTACATCTCGTTCATGTTTGCATATCTCCCGTGTCACTGCAATACCCATGTACCACAATGTGTTAACTTAATAAACATTTTTGTCTTTAAACTGGGTCAGTTTTTAAAACTTACATTCCTACTTCACGGTCGTGCTGTAGACTATTGTTCCGGCCCATTTTACAGGTGGGAAAAAGGCTCGGACAGGCTGAGTCAAGGTAAAAGAGCAAGTAAATGGCAGAGTCATTAATAGTCAAGGCTAGACCTCTCAGTAAGCAGGGCTCCACTCCCATCCCCCTCCACCACGCAACTGTAACCACACCCTAACTCTTCTAGACACATGGTGTGTACTGGGGCAGGAGCTGGAACAGGCCTCCACCCTGACGCTGGAGGTCTCTCTGCAGCTCATGAAGCCTGAAGCCCCATGGGACTCTTTCCCAGACATAGAAACCTGTGATCGGGCACCTCAGACACTGGGTGATAGACACAGACACAGGGTCCTAAGAACCGCAGGAACCAGAGTCCCGTGGCTGCTGGAGCCAGAGGAGCACTTACTGGTTGTGAGACCTGGTTTCGCTGTCAGCACGAAGGGCTCTAGAACCGTCTGGGAACACCGGCAGAGTTTCTCCGGGCTGTCCGTCCTGAGGCGATGCTGCCAGGTCATCCTGAGCCACACGTACATCTAGTTTGATGGAGAACTGCTTCTGGAATGGCTACAGCAGCCCACGCTGTGGCGACCCAGGGCTTTATGAAGGATTTGGTCGACTGTTTTGTTCCAGTGCAGGGTCTTGCCATGTAGCCTTGCCTGATCTGGAACTCAGTCTGCAGACCAGCCTGGCCTCGTCTCCCCATGGCGAGCACTTCGATTAAAGACGTGTGCCCCCGAGATCCTGCCTCATGGGTTCTCCTTAGCCTGTAGTGACTCTCCGTGTTTCATTATTGACATTTTCATACTTGTGTCTAAGGGACTCGGATCATATTCGCCCCTCCCCCTTTGCTCCCCCTTGTGTTCCCCCTACTCCTGCTGGTCCCTTCCCATCCCCTTCCTCCTCCTGACTAGCTCCACTTCTACATTCATGTCTCTTTAGTGTGTGACCCGGACTCTCACCGGAGCATGTTCACGGGAGCATGGATGCCTTCCCTGTCACGCCAGCATTGAAGATGTCTGTTTCTCTCCCACCAGCAGTCAACAGCATGCAAATCCTCAGGGGAGACTGGGTCCCAGAGGCCCTCTCCCCTTTCACGGAAGGTTTCTAAGCCAGATGTGGTGGCACACACTTTTAATCCCAGCACTTGGGAGGCAGAGGCAGGGGGACCTCTGTGAGTTCAAGACCAGACCGATCTACAGTTCTAGTCCAGGACAGCCAAGGCTACAGAGAAACCTATAAACTCGAAAAACAAAACAACAACAAAAATGTGCGGTCAAATCCTGATTTTAGTTTGACTCTCTCAGATTACAAACGGACTGTAATCAGGTACTTTAGTCATTTGTGCTCAGATTCAAATAATTCAGGCCCCAAAGCTTGTGTCATGTCACAGAGTAATCAATAAAGTGGCCACCCAGAGCGGCTTTCTGCAGCTTCTTGGCTGTGATTTTGGACTGACTGTGGAACCTCTGGGTCTATTTCTGTTAAGTGAGAATACCGGCCAGGTAAGGTGCTTCACACTTGTAACTCTTTCACTCGAGAGGCCGAGGCAGGAGGATTGGGACAACTTCAAGACCACTCTGGTTATATAGTTAAGTATCGGGCTAACTAGAGTAGCATAGTAAAAGTTTGTCTTTATGTTTGTTTGTTTGTTTTTGTTTTTTTTGAGACAGGGTCTTTCTATTCCTGGCTGTCCTAGAACTCAATCTGTAGAGCAGGCAGGCCTCGAACTCAGAGATCCACCTGCCTCTGCCTCTGGAGCGCTGGAATCAAAGGTGTGCGCCACCACCACCCAGCTCTAAATTTTCTTTTCAAGAATCCGTATATTGTCAGTGTGGTAGATGGTGGGCTTAGAGCTGCTTAGGACTGTCCCTGGCACAGGCCGAATGTCGCAAATATTGTCCCTGTCCTACCAGATCGCCTCCACATCATGGAACTTCCCGTTTACAACACCGCAGCATGATGCCAGCCCTCTTCCCCTTGTCACTGAGTTCTCGTTGTGTAATTGAGTGTTCTCCTCGGGATGGGAAAGTGTGGAGAGGAACAAAGTGTGACCGGTCATGCTTTCCTTTTATTTCACTTCTAGGTTACTCTACAGTTTTTTGGGTTTTTTTTTTTTTTTTTTTTTGAGGCAGGGTTTATCTGTGTAGCCCTGGCTGTCCTGAAACTTGCTCTGTAGGCCAAGATGGCCTCAAACTGAGAAATCCACCTGCCTCTGCCTCCCAAGTGCTGAGACTGAAGGTGTGCACCACCAACGCCCGGCTGCCCAGAAGTGCTTTAAGAAGCCAGAGCCATCACACACATCAGTCATGGAGTCTCAGTCTTTGATGGTCATGATGAGTTAGTTCCTTAAAAATTGCTAGAGCGTCAGAGGACACTCTCCACAGACTGAAGAGGCGGTGCTTGAAATGGAGGAAAATACTTGCAAACTGAGTGTGTGGTAAAGGGGTGGATGATATGCAAAAATCCCCTAAAACTCAAAAACAGGAAACTAAACTTGATAGAAAAAATAGACAAATAACTTGAATATACACTTCTCTGAAAAACATATATGACTGGCTGATAAGCACACGAAAACAGGTTCAACATCTCTGATCATTAGGGGAAACCAAGCCAAACCACAGTAAGAGATAACCAGAAAATATTAAGCAGTGCTGAGGATGTGAATGTGAAGGAAACAGGCTTTTTTTTTCATCTGATTCTTGTGTAGCCCTGTCCATCCTTGAATTCATGATGTGTGTGAGGATGACCTTGAACTCCTGCTCCTTCTGCCTTGACCTCCTGAGTGTTAGAATTATAGGTGGGCACCAACAGATCAACTTTACTCAGAGACCTAACCCTTGGCTTGAGCATGCTAGGTAAGCATTCTAATAACTGAGGTACCCTCCCACCCCTCCAAACTGGAATTCCTGTGCCTTGCTCATGGTGCCTGCACAATGATGCAGCGGCTGCAGAAAATATTGTTTCTCAAACAACTGAGCATGGCTTCTGGGCCTGGTGACACCAGGCTGTAATACCAAGATTGGAAGACTGAAGCAGGAGGAGTTGGAGGCCAGCCTGGACCATAGATGTTTATCTCAAACAAGCAAGGAAGGAAGCAAGCAAACAAACAAACAAACAGGCCTGGGGGATCTCGGTGGTACATCATCTAGTCTATAAGGCTTTAGGCTCAAGTCTATTCTTTGTTTTTGTTTTTTTTCCAAGACAGGGTTTCTCTGGCTGTCCTAGAACCCACTCTATAGACCAGGCTGGCCTCAAACTCACAGAGCTCCACCTGCCTCTGCCTCTTGGGCTTGAAGGCGTATACCAACACCGCCAGGGTAAGGCTTATTCCTTCATACTGGGGGAGGGGTCCCAGGCAGCAATCATCACAAAGCAATTTCTCTCCTAGAAGTGTACCTAAAATAACCGTAACCAAGGACTCAAGCAGGTGTGTATGCATGAACACACAGCCGCCAATGATGCAAATAACCCATTCATCCACTGACAGACGAGCGATAAAATGTGGCGTAGACATACCTTAAAGAGGAAGGGCATTTGACATGTGGTAAAACCATGACTGACCCTTGAAGATGTTGTGCTAAGTGATAAAAGGCAGGCACCAAAGGACAAGTGTATGGCCCCACTTATGTGCCTGGTGCCCGTGGAGGCCAGAGAGGGTGTTGGGTTCTCTGTAACTGCGGTTGTAAATGGCGGTGAGCCACCATTTGGGGGCTGGGACTGAACCCAGGTCCTCTGCAAAACGGACCCAGCAAAACAAGCATGCCTAAAAACTGAGCCATCATTTCTCTAGCCCCATAAAAACGATACATTTTATGTCACCAAAATGGAATGGTGTCAATGGTTAAGTTGACAGAATCTAGAATCACCTGGAAGATGGACTTCTGGACATGCCTGTGGGAGATCATCTTGACTGTGTTAACTGAGGTAGGAATGCCTGCCCACTGTGGGTGGAGCCATTCCTTGACTGGGATCCTGATTTGGCTAACACAGTGGTTCTCAACCTCCCTAGTGTTCCGGTGATGATCTCCAGCCATAAAGTTATCTTTGTTGTTGCCTCATAACTGTAATTTTGCTACTATTATGAATCCTTTTTTTTTTAAATATTATTTATTTATTTATTATGTATACAATGTTCTGTCTGCATGTACACTTGCATGCCAGAAGAGGGCACCAGATCTCATTATAGATGGCTGTGAGCCACCATGTGGTTGCTGGGAATTGAACTCAGGACCTCTGGAAGAGCAGCCAGTGCTCTTAACCTCTGAGCCATCTCTCCAGCCCCTACTATTATGAATCCTAATGTAAACATCTGTGTTTTTCGATGGCCCCAGGCGACCCCTGTGAAAAGGTTGTTAGACCCCAGGGGGTCGTGACCCACAGGTTGAGAACCACTGGTCGAACAGGAGGCCCGCAAAGGGCCATCCCGGAAGTAACTTCACATATACTCACGGTAGAGGAAGGGGAAGGAGGTACCTGAAGCACCACGCAGCTAGTTGTTACAGTGTTTAAAGGTGACTTCCTGGCCTGGAGTGGCTGCTAACAGGAGGATTGTTTTACTACAAATGACTTTCAGCTATCATCAGCAGCTGAAATTTAGGAAGGCGGAAGGGGGAATTGGGAGGAATGGGGGACTAGTTCTGGATTTGCCTCCCAGTCTGTCATGGCTGATTATTCGGCTTTAGGTCACTAGTCTATCTCTGGTCCTCGGTCTCTCCAGTTGTAAATAGGAAGATAAGGACACTGCCTGGGTGTATTAGACGCTCCAGGGAGCCAGTGGAGAGGAAGTGATTTTGCGGTCTGCTAAGGAGCATTACGCGCACTTAGCATCCAACACAACTGATCAGCTCAGCTCTGGCAAGGCTGGTGGCTTAGCATCCATTCTCCTCCTCTTCCGAAATCGAAGAACTCCTGTTTTAGGAAGCT